AGGAGTTTGGAACATTAGGAAGAACTTTCCAACTGTGAGAGCTGTTCAGCAGTGGAACTCTCTGCCCCAGAGTGTGGTGGATGCGCCTTCTTTGGAGGCTTTTAAACAGAGGCTGTTTAGGGGTGTTTTGAATGCGATTTTCCTGCTTCTTGACAGGGGGTTGGACTGGATGACCCACGAGGTCTCTTCCAACGCTATGATTCTATTAATGAACTGAACCACCTCAACTGGGTTCTCCAGGCCAATGGGATACTCCACCTCAGACATCAGAAGAGCCGCAAGACCAAGAACAAGCCACGAGAGTAAAGATGAAGATCCACCCAGAGGAAAAGTGTTCCTGCCATACATCAAGGGAACCACTGACCGCATAGGGAAGCTGATGAGGAAACACAACATACAAACAATCTACAAACCCACCAAGAAAATCCAACAAATGCTACGTTCAGCAAAGGACAAGAGGGATCCTCTCACCTCTGCAGGAGTCTACCGTATACCATGCAGCTGTGGACAAGTCTACATAGGGACCACCAAACGCAGCGCCCAGACACGCATCAAGGAACATGAAAGGCACTGCAGACTACTTCAACCAGAGAAGTCAGCCATAGCAGAGCACCTGATGAACCAACCTGGACACAGCATATTATTTGAGAACACAGAAATGCTGGACCACTCTAACAACTACCATGTCAGGCTACACAGAGAAGCCAATGAAATATACAAGCATGTGGACAATTTCAACAGAAAGGAAGAGACCATGAAAATGAACAAAATCTGGCTACCAGTATTAAAAAACTCAAAAATTATAACAGCTAAACAACCGAGAGGAAAAAACCAGGCACAGATTAACACCTCCCAGCAACAGATTTTCCCAGGCTCAGGCAGGCCTTCAAATGCTAGTGAAGGTGGTCAGTTGAAACATTCACACCTAGCTCCAGCAGGGAAGAGCTCCTTGTCCCACCCCAGCTCTTTCCACAGATATATAAACATTTTCCTAGTTCCAACAGACCTCACTACCTCTGAGGATGCTTGCCATAGATGCAGGCGAAACGTCAGGAGAGAATGCCTCTAGAACATGGGCATATAGTCCGATGCCATAGATGCAGGCGAAACGTCAGGAGAAATGCCTCTAGAACATGGCTCTATAGCCTGAAAAAACCCACAAGAACCTATTCTATTAATCTATTTACACTTTTCTTTTGTACACAGGGGTATTCCTGAAATCTGAAACCAGGCAGATTTACCTTTCTAGGTGTTATTTGTGAGAAGTAATGCAGATTCCCCCATTACCACCCTTCCCTTTGTCCTGTAGGCTTTCATGACAGCCACTCAAAACCGAACCATGTGCATTTCTTTTTTCATCCCAGAAGAGAAAAAACGGTAGGCGGTGCAATGTGCTGGCTGGCTTGGCAGATTGTAGCGCACAGTGCTACTCAGCTGCGGTTATGGTGCTTGAAGTCTACTTAGAGGCAATCATTTTCAAGTAGGCAGCTGTATGAGTATGGAGGACTAGAATAGAAACATCTTTTCTCTAGGAGAGCCTATGGACTACATATATGACAACCCCGCATGGAACTGCTCCATACCTTTCCAACCCACTCCCACTTTTCATGCTGACAAGCGCCATTGCAGTTATCCCCGTTGGCTTGCCCTGCTTACTTCCTCAATTGCTTGGTTGAATGGAGTGCCATCAACAAGAAAACCTTCACGCATACAGTATGACCCCAATATTCATTTATTCACACCTGATGAAATATGTCCTCTTGGGGCATTTTGTAGGTCCTCCATGAAAAACTCCTTCATTTCAGTAGGGTTTGCTATTATTCACAATTTGGTGCATCTACACAAAGACCTGGAATGTATCCCCCAAGGATATGGGGGTGGCACTAAAACACCATCTGGCAGCTGTCATTTTCATTTCCAAAAAGGTACAGGCTGATACAACAATGATGGCACTCTGGGAAACAAACAAACAAAAAGAAGCAGGTGGCTGCTCATGACAGCTGAGCAGCACCATAATTTCTTTTTTTTTGGGGGGGGGGGGGAGCAATGGTTGTACTGCATTTGTTTCCCTGGATCTTTTTCAAGAAACCACAGATTTCACCTTTTCCAAATTTAAGTCTGAGAATAATGGTGCTGTGGTATAGAATGAATGATCTGGATTCAGAAACTTGATTATATGGCAGTGTAGATCCATCCTAAGGAGGCAAGGATGTCTAATGTTGTTGAGTCTTATTGAGTTCTAGTTGTTGTTTTATATGTTTATTTGTTTTACTTTCTTGTATTTTATACTGTGTTTTATTTTATGCTCCGTTTTTAGGCACTTTGGTGCCATGTGTAAACCATCCCAAGTCCCTTCGGGGAGATGGTGGTGGGGTACAAGAATAAAGTTGTTGTTGTTATTATTTGAAACACAAAAAGATTAGTACACAGCAAACAAGGTCACTCTGCTGGCTGTTGTATTGGATCACACGTCGGACACTTCCCAAGTGTCTAGGACTGTGTGATGTATCAGCGAATAATGCATGCAGATCCCATTAGGGTGGCCTTCTGCAGCTGACAGATGGTAATTTTGTCAGCGCTGATTGTGTTTAAGTGCAGGCCAAGGTCTTTAGGCACTGCACCCAGTGTGCCAGTCACCATTGGGACCACCTTTACTGGCTTGTCTTTGCAGTTCGATATTTAAATCCTCGTATTGTGTCAGCTTTTCTCGTTGTTTCTCTTCAATCCTGCTGTCACCTAGGATTGCAACATCAACAATCCATACTTGTTTTGTTTTTTTACCACGATCGTGTGGTCAGGAGTATTGTGCTCCAAAACTCTGTCTGTCTGAATTTGGAAGTCCCAGAGTAGTTTGACGTGATCATTTTCTGTAACTTTTTCAGGCTTGTGATCCCACCAGTTCTTTGTTGGAGACAGATGGTATTTGTGGCACAAGTTCCAATGAATCATCTGAGCAATGGTGTTGTGCCTCTGCTTGTAGTCTGTCTGCGTGATCTTTTTGCAGCAGCTGAGAATGCGATCTGTTGTTTCGTCTGCTTCCTTGCAGAGTCTAAGACGAAACTATTATTATTATTATTATTATTATTATTATTATTATTATTATTAGGCTTGACTGACTAGATACAACTTCTAAAGATTTTTGATGTGTTTATCAGCTGATGAAAAGCAGAATGACTGAGACAATTAGAATAGTTATTCTCACAATTCCATTTGTTTATAGAGGACCTGGATGAATATATTCTGCTGCATACTCTGTAGTGGGAAGTGAAATGGTGGTAGAGGTAGAGGCTGGAGTGGAACAAAAGCACTGTAGAATTAGAGTGTTAGGTGTAATTTTGATAAGTATAAAAACAAAAAATGGAGCAGACCATTGAACAGTAACTCTTTGCACCTTCTCTACAAAGTGTTAACTTCTGTCTGCTAGAGCCTTTAATAGGTTAACTGTCTCATTGTCTTACTCTTTTTCCTCCGTTCACACACATCACATCCTATGTCTCCTGTAAAGCAGTACTAAAAATAGTGGTCCTTGGATCAGTGTTGATCTCTGAGCCATTGTGAAACCTAGAAATAATTGTTGTCAATGGCCATAAATGTGGTGCCGGTCCCTGGCATTTGGGGTGGGTGAGTGGAAAACCTTGAGATTATTTCTTTATTTATTTACGATATTTCTACCCCGCCTTTCTCAAGCCCGACGACAACTCAAGGCGGCTTACAAATTGGCAGCAATTTGATGCTATAACAACCCACAATATACAATTAAAATATTTAAAACAACATTATAAAATCCATACAAAAACCATTAAAACGTATTGATGAGGAGATATTGGAAAAATAGATATTTATTTATGTATAAATTGTATGTACTTTACAAGCACTGAAATGTATAGAAAATCAAGTTCTCTCTGTATTAGAAAGAATGCTGAAGGAGATCTGTGTCCAAGGCATGGGCAGGAGGGGGAACATTCCAGGAGAGAGATAAGCCCATCCTAGTAGCAACAGAGACTGGTATCGAGCCCAGGCTATAGCTAAGGGAGGAGCCTATCTCTCCCTCATGACAAGTTAAAGTATGTCCCTTGATAGATGAATGTAAGCTGTAAGCTGTATGCTGCTCTTCAGAAAGAAATACAGAGACATGCTTTTTGTATGTTGGAAGATAGAATTTGATATTCCTATTATGCTAAAGTGACACAGAAAATGATGTCAATGTATGTAGAAGCATGTTTCTTTGTTTGCCTGCATTTGGAGGGTATAAAAAGGCAGTCAACGCCTATATTGGGGTTCTGGTGCTTTTGGACACAGCTCCACTCCAGAGTCCCAGCTGGAAATAAATCCGTGCTTTTTCAGACCTCCGGAACTCTCTTTGTCTCTTTTGCTGAAACCTTCTCGCTGCCTTTTCAGTATAATAGCAGCACTACTGTAGCTCACTTCCCTTAATTCTTATTCCTCCAGACTCAATAGTGCATTTAAGAAAGTATACAGAGTTATTAAGCCATGTTAATCTTGTGTTGTTGAAGGGTTTCATGGCCGGAATCACTGGGTTGCTGTGAGTTGTATGGCCATGTTACAAAACCATTCTCTCCCGATGTTTTGCCCACATCTATGGCAGGCATCCTCAGAGGTTGAGGGATCTGTTGGAAACTAAGTAAGTGAGATTTATATATCTGTGGAATATCCAGGGTGAGAGAAAAAACTTTTATCTAATAGAGATACATGTGAATGTTGCAATTTGCCACCTTGATTAGCATTTAATGGCCTTCAGTTTAAAGGCCTGGCTGGTTGCTTCTTAACCTTCTTGTACACACACCTTCACAGTGATCAGGTAAGCCAAACCTCCAAGGTCTAGTTTTGCAACTGTATTTACTATTTTATTTTATTCAAAATTCTGGTATTAGCAACCTTTCAATAAAGATCCACTACAGATCTGACTACAGACAGGTGGAATTCCTCCACAATCCTGTAACATGTCTTCCTTTTTATGTGTCCCCCTTTTCCTATTCCAGAGTGATTACTCAAGTGACACTGACAGTGAAGACCATTTCCTTATGATGCCACCCAGGGACCATCTTGGGCTCAGCGTCTTCTCCATGCTCTGTTGTTTCTGGCCACTGGGAATTGCTGCCTTCTATTTGTCCCATGAGGTAAGGTCCAATTTTGCGTCCTGTGTGGGCTTCCACTGCTATCCCATTTATGCTGAAGGGAGGATATGGGTGAAGAGTAAAGACATCAAAAGACTGGGAAAAGGCAACTAAATTGAGTCAGGCTCCTGATTCAAATGGTAGAATGACTTTGTTTCTTCATCTCATTTGTATTGCAAAAGGGAAGCTAGGTAGCAATGATTACCCTCTTTGCTTGATACCCTGATCCTAGGCTGCTGTTGATATCCATAAGATATATCTATTGCATGGATATGAAATATTCAGGCTGATTTTAAATTTCCTTTTCTCAGTAGAGTGATTTAGGTTACACACAAAGAGAGGTATGGCTCACAGGTTATCAGAAGCTATGCAAGAATTGTCAGATGTAAGAGTTTAAAAGTTAAAAGTATATTAAAATTTGATGCACCATTGATTGACACTTCTGTGCCCCAAACCTGCAAAATAAGAGGATGGTTTGGTCTGAAAGACCAAGGTCATGGAGGTGCATGGTGCAGATATTACAATAGGCACGTAAATAAAAAAACATACTCTAAATATTATTATAAAGCAAAAAATCCAAGTAGATTTTTATATGACACCAAAAAATATTTGAATAAAAAAGACACTGACTTTCCTCATTTGCCCATACAGTAGAACACCCAGATCCATGGGGATATGTCCTTGAACTTTGCATGAATATGTAACACCGCAAAGAATAGCAACCTCTTCAATAGGATGACATTTGAGGAAGAGGGTGCCATTTGTACAGAAGGTACATGAATAGCTGAATAAGTGAAACCATGGATAACTGGAGCTGCATATATTGTATTCATAACTATGAAGGCTGTGCTGCATTATTAAAGTGGGATGGGAATAAGTTCTTTCTATTAGCATTTTTGAATGCCTGAGTAACAATCATTTCTTTCTGCAGCCACTCTCTATCTGAGGGTCAATCTAGACAGGCCCATATCCTGGGACCTGTCCGGGTTTTTACTGGGGATTTCCAAACGACGCCCTTGGTAAAAACAAATTGATTTGGAATAACCTTGGTTAGTTCAAATTAATTAAATACTCTATTAGATCCGGGTCTTCTTGAGGTATTGGATCTGTGGGGACTTACCCCTGAGTAGTTCCAGGACCAACAAGAACAATTGATTTATTTATTTACTATTATTTATATCCCACCCTTCTCACCCCGAAGGGGACTCAGAGCAACTTACAAACTCCGGCAAAAATTTGATACCGCATCATATACACTAGCTGGAGGTAAGTCCCCAATTGCCACCCTGAAATTTTTAGGCTCTTGGAGCCCAAAGGTCCATGATGGCACCCAACCCCTCCCCTCCCAAGCCCCCAAAACTTTAAAAAACTTACTGGGATATTGTTAAGGTGGTCCTTGTGTTCTCTTGGCACATAGAAATGATGCACCAGGAGATGGGGTGGGGAGTAGAGTCATTTTCCTCCTCCCCCGGTCTCCTTGTGCATTATTTCTATGCACCAGGAGGACAAAAGGACCACCTTAATGGTGGCCCAGTATGTTTTAAAAACAATTTTCAGGGTTGTTTTAGGGGGCTTCTGGGTGGTTGCACGCCATCCAGTAGTCACTGCAATGGCATGTAAATACCCCCCAGGGAAAGCCCTGGGGGGGGGGGGGGTAAACACGCGCTGAAGCGGGTTTTTAAAATCCACTTTGGTGCGTGTTTAATTAGTGTGGGAGTGCTTTAAGTCTAAGGGTGCATTTATACTATAGATTAATTCAGTTTGATACAACTGTAATTGTCATGGCTGAATGTTATGGAATCATAGAATTCATAGTTTGAAGAGGCACCAGCACTATTTAGTGGTGAAGGCTTGTAAAACTACAACTCTTATGATTCCATATCACTGAGTGATAGCAGTAAAAGTGATGTCAAACTACAATAGAGTCTCGTTTATCCAACTTTCGCTCATCCAACGTTCTGTATTATCCAACACAGTCTGCCTCCCATCTGGATCCACAGCTGTTTCAATACATTGAGTTGTTTTGGGACTAAAATCATAAATACAGTAGTAATGTTGCCTTGGATTGAACTGCTTTTTCTGTCGATTTGTTGTAAAACATGATGTTTTGGTGCTTTATTTGTAAAATCATAACGTAATTTGACATTTAATAGGCTTTCCCTTAATCCCTCCTTATTATTCAATATTTTTGTTTATCCAACATACTACTGGCCCGTTTATGTTGGATAAAACATAATCTTATGCTATTGCTCCCTCAACGTTCTTGTCCTAGGAGTACGAAGGTCTGTTTATTTCCCTGTCTCTCTATGAGTTCTCCCTTACAAATAATTCTGCTCCTTTATCTCACCCTGAGTTTTTAAATCATTTTTTAAAAAAATCATTTTATGTACATGCAGCCCGCTCACTGTCATTATGTTTGGTTTACTGCTTTTTTTCTTTATGTTTGTGTATGTTGTTTATATGCTTATATGTTTTATACTTTAATGATATGTTTTTATATTTTATTGAAATTTGTATCTCATTTTATTGTAATCTGTTGTTCGGGCTTGGCCTCATGTAAGCCGCCCCGAGTCCCCGTTGGGGGAGATCATAGAATCATAGAATCAAAGAGTTGGAAAAAACCTCATGGGCCATCCAGTCCAACCCCTGCCAAGAAGCAGGAATATTGCATTCAAAGCACCCCTGACAGATGGCCATCCAGCCTCTGTTTAAAAGCTTCCAAAGAAGGAGCCTCCACCACACTCCGGGGAAGAGTTCCACTGCTGAACGGCTCTCACAGTCAGGAAGTTCTTCCTCATGTTCAGATGGAATCTCCTCTCTTGTAGTTTGAAGCCATTGTTCCGCGTCCTAGTCTCCAAGGAAGCAGAAAACAAGCTTGCTCCCACCTCCCTGTGGCTTCCTCTCACATATTTATACATGGCTATCATATCTGCTCTCAGCCTTCTCTTCTTCAGGCTAAACATGCCCAGCTCCTTAAGCCTCTCCTCATAGGGCTTGTTCTCCAGACCCTTGATGGTGGCGGGGTATAAATAAAGTTGATTATTATTATTATTATTATTATTATTATTATTATTAAAAGAGAATCTACTGTACATTAATTCTACTGTGTAGATGCACCCAAAATTGCTACCACTTCCTTCTCTTCTCCATTCCCACTGTGTCTGTAGGTAAAGAAAAGACCCTTAATTTGCACATTTAAGCATCCTAGAAATAAATTAAATAAAGATAAGATTAACAATAATTCAAATGTGATTTCTTACCACTATGGATTACACATTTGTATTATAGAATGATCCAGGTAATGGGGTTCTTTACATTGTGGTGCACAAAACTCCTGAAAAGATTAATGCATATGGCACACGTTATCATTTATATGGCATTAGTTCTTCCTGATAGTTGTCAGTCTAACCATCCTTTTAGTTGCACAACATCACTGCAAATGCACTGCTGCAGAGACAAATGCCGAATAAGGAAGACATGCTGTGAAAATGCACGAGGATCGTTTTAATAGCAGGCTAGCCAATAAAGACATTTAAGAATGATTAGTGCTGAAGGATCCAAGACCTTTACAAGGAAATCTGTGCTGTTATCTCTCTTGCTGTCAGCTGTTAAACAAGCTGGATTGCCCGTGCTGTTGCTGGGAGGAAGTGCCCAACTTAGAATTCCGTCTGTGTATAGCATTCGCCATAGCATTTATTTATTAAAGCTCCTGGCCTGCTACTGAAAATATTTCAGCCTAAAGATGGTGTTGAATTGGCACATCAGTCATCTTGATGCCAGACACAGTCTGTTGATGGATTTTTTTTTAAAAAGGAACATTCTGGAACATTGCAGAGGTGCCATTAAGGAGAGCAAAAGTGGAGTGGGATATCTGGTGAAAGATGTTGCCATCAAACATGGCAAGGGTGGCACTCTAGAATCAAGGCATATAGTCTAGAGCAGTGGTTCTCAACCTTTGTAATGCCGCAGCCCATTAATACAGTTCCTCATGTTGTGGTGACCCCAACCATAATTTTTTTGTTGCTGCTTCATAACTGTTTTTCATAATTTTGCTATTGTTATGAATCATAATGTAAATATCTGATATTCGTGATGTATTTTCATTCACTGGACGAAATTTGGCACAAATACTCAATATGCCCAAATAGAGGAAAATAGAGCTTGACATTTGGGAGTTGTAGTTACAGGGATTTACAGTTAACCTACAACCAAAGAGCATTCTGAACTCCACCAACGATGCAATTGAACCAATCTTGGCACACAGAACTCCCATGGCCAATAGAAAATATTGGAAGGGTTTGGTGGGCGGTTTAGAGTTGTAGTTCACCCACATACAAAGAGCACTGTGGACTCAAACAATAATGGATCTGGACCAAACTTGGCACGAATACACAATATGCCCAAATGTGAACACTGATGGGGTTTGAGGAAAACAGACCTTTGGGAGTTGTTGCTGGGATTTATAGTTCACCTACAATCAAAGAGCATTCTGAACCCCACCAATGACAGAATTGTGCCAAACTTCACACACAGAACCCCGATGCCTAGAAGGGACTTGCTGCCACAGGCTTCCCTCCAGCCTCTCACGCTCTCTCTCACCTGCATATGCGCACCACGCGGCCATGCGCTGAGCACGCCTTCTCTCCTCACTTGAAGTCTCATAATCAGCCCTCCCCTTGGCTGAGAGGCTGGAATCAAACAATGATGGATCTGGACCAAACTTGGCACAAATACTCAATAACCCCCATGGCCAACAGAAAATACTGTTTTCTGATGGTCTTTGACAACCCTTTGACACCCCCTCGTGACCACCCCCTCCGGGATTCCAACCCCCAGGTTGAGAAACGCTGGTCTAGAGGTTGGGTTTGGCAGACTTCAGCTTTGTTACTCGAACTCTGCATTTCCATTTGCCAGAAAGAGGTACAAAAGGACTAACGTTGAACATTAAAGAACGCAGTGCCTCTGAGCACATTCTGAGCCTCAGTGTTCATTTTCAGTTTGAGAGCTGAACTGATTGCACAGTCCTTTCACACAAAACCCCAGTCCTCATTCTTCATTTTCTGCAGCACTATTCAGGTGAGAAAAAGTCATGTTGTGCCTGCTATTTTTCATCAGTTAGAAGTCAGAAAATGTGATGATGGCAGAACCTTGGTAGCAATTAAATTCAACTCACAAGGAAATCTTGGAAAATGTATTCTCGAAGGCTTTCATGGCCAGAATCACTGGGTTGTTGTGTGTTTTCCAGACTGTATGGCCATGCTTCAGAAGCTTTCTCTCCTGTTTCGCTTGCATCTATGGCAGGCATCCTCAGAGGTTGTGGGTGCCATTAAATTACCTGACTTCTGGCCTCATCATATTATACAGTTGGCCTGTAATACCTAGAAATTCCTAGAGAGGTATCCTCCAGAACAACTCTATGTGGGGTGGTGCAAGGAGTTAAACCCTTGTGCTGCCTAACTGCTGACCTGAAGGTTGGCAGTTTGAATCCATGGCACAGGGTGAGCTCCCGCTGTTAGCCCCAGCTCCTGCCAACCCAGCAGTTCAAAAACATGAAAATGTGAGTAGATCAATAGGTTCTGCCTTGGCGGGAAAAGGCAAAAAGACACTCCATGCAGTCAGACACAACCCTGCGCAGACGGTCGGTCAATGCAACTTAAGCAACTTGCAGTCATTGAATTCTTGACAGCAGAAGGTGTCATCTCAACATCTTTAAACTTACTTGCCCAACAACGCACAGTACTCACAACAACACAATCACAGTAAACAGCTTGCATTCTCTGATGAATCTCCTTTGGGGTGACACCTTCTGCTGTCAAGAATTCAATGACTGCACATTGCTTAAGTTGCATTGACTGACCGTCTGTGCAGGGTTCCATACTTCGCACTGTAACAACACAACCGTTCAATGCTAAGGCTTCCTGCCAAAAACCGAACTGTATAGGAGAGTCTACTGAACAAGCCAGTACCTGCAGCATACCAGTACTGCCATTTGATGAGTAGTTACGAAGGTGGAGGCATTACTTTTCATTCAACCCTTGTATGTTTTCTGAAAAGTTGAACGGTGCTCCAGAATCCAGGTTCACTAAAGTTTGCCTTTCCCCTCTCCTTTGCAGACAAACAAAGCCATCGCTAAAGGGGACTTCCACTACGCCAGCTCCAGTTCACGAAGAGCCCTCTTCTTGGCTGTGCTATCCATCACGATTGGAACAGGCATTTATGTAGGGGTTGCTGTGGCACTTATAGCCTACCTATCCAAAAATAACCACTTATGAGACTGGAAGAGTTGGACTCCTACAGAAAGCTTCAAAAGAATATGACATCTGAAATATCACTACTTTTGATGGTGGACAGGGCTACTGCAAGAGGATGCAGCCTGAATTGTAAACAAGACTGTTCCAGGTCTTTTCAGCCCTTCCAATTTAATGTGAATGTTGGCAATACCAGTCACTGCAAGAAGCCAAGAAATCTTAGTTCTTTCTCAAGATCAAAAGGTCTCTTCCAAACTTGTTTCTTTGCAGATTGCTACTGGTCTGAGCCAGGCAAAACCCAAGAAGAGCTCTGTTAACTTGAATGCGGGCCCTTGCTGTCAAAAGACAAGAGAGTGATGAATACAAAGAATAAACATCTAACACCCACACCACCAATTCCTCTCTTGGTGTTGGATTATTAAGAAGCAGAAACAGATGGCTCGGCGCACATGTCTAACTGTCTCAAATATGAAGTAACAGCACAGTGAATGAAACATCAGAGTAGCAGAAGGGCCTTATGAGAGCATCCAGCAGTGTCCAAACAATTGGGAACTGTTTGAGGTGGAAGATTTGGGGTGTCATTAAGGGCAGCAGACCGAGAGAGAGAGAGGCATTAAAGTCATGCAACAAAGCTGCCAGGAAGGACATCTGCGTAAGCTGCACTAAAGCTAACAAAAGTTGCAAAGATGTACAGTAATGTTTTTTCTGTAATTCCCGTTCACTTTGGAGACCTTCACAGTGGACTGTTTATAGGGTGATTTGGGTAGCCCATCTTGGATGTCAGAGCGCCTCATCCTAAGAACAACTTGCTTGCAAAGCATGCAGCTCTTTTCTGGCAGCAACTCTCTTCCTGAGCAGGCTTTTTCAGCAACTAAATATAAGATGCGCATTGTCCAAAAGTGTTGTGGCAAGGCATGCAATTCCATCCCAGAGCATGGTTTGAGACAATGATCTTCGTCAAGGAGAGCAAGATACCAGTTTAATGGCACGGGACATCATTCTTGGCTTACGGACAGAGCAATGCTGCGATACGGTCCTCTTTTCCTCATTCTCTAATAGCCATGCCCTTGCTGCTGAAGATCTGAGTGGGCAATGGCCATATCGTAAACTATGTAATTAATATTAAAAAAATAATAACAGTTTAAAACAGCCATCTTCATTTTGCATTTTACTACAATGTTTTCTTCTGACGTTTCCTTTGATCTTCCAAGATGACACTTTACAGAATATTGTGGAAGTATTTACTGCAATGAGTCATTGCATTATCTTTTATTTTGTTGTCAACACTAATCATTTTTCTTCAAATGATGTTCAAGTATGGACATATTTTTCTACAAGTTCAGGCAATTTTAACATATAAAAGATGCTGAAGTTGGGACATGTTTCTCTCTTTTGATAGATTTTATGTAAGCAGAATTACAGGGTGTTAATTACCGGTGGCACAGTGGGTTGAGCTGCTGAGCTTGTTGACCGAAAGGTCACAGGTTCAAATCCTGAGTGGCGTGAGCTTCCGCTGTCAGCCCCAGCTTCTGCCAACCTAGCAGTTCGAAAACATGCAAATGCAAGTAGATCAATAGCTACCGCTCCGACAGGAAGGTAACAGTGCTTCATACAGTTATGCCAGCCACATAACCTTGGAGGTGTCTACGGACAACGCTGGCTCTTTGGCTTAAAAATGGAGATGAGCACCAACCCCCAGAGTTGGACACAACTGGACTTAATGTCAAGGGGAAACCTTTACCTTTACTTAACCTCCACCTCCAGTCTAGATCACTGAATTGCACGTGAGAATAGGGGGCAGTGAAAGGGCATTTTCCCAGAGAGGTGATTTTATATGTTTTGCCAATATATAAATCTAAAATCCAAATGTAATTCTGTCAAATAGATGCTCACTACATCTCTCTTAATAAAAGGAGCTTTCCATATTTTTTGCTACAGGCATATCGTTTGAGATTAATTTAATCAGTGAAAATAAAAAGAGAGTTAATTGTTTGAGCAGGGATTCGAATTTGAATTTGGGCCTACCATCTTCTAGTGTAGGAGTCCTCAAAGTGTTTAAGTAGGCAGGCAGTTCACGGTCCCTCAGACTGTTGGGAAGCTGGACAACAGTTTGAAAAAAACCAGTTCTTATGCATACTGCACACATCTTATTTGTAGTGCAAAAAAGCATGAAAGAACAATACAATATTTAAAATGAAGAACAAGTTTAACCAACATAAATCTACCAGTATTTTAATGGCAAATGTGGGCCTGTTCTTGGCTAATGAGATAGTCGAGTTAATTAGGATTGTTGTTGTGTGTGGCTTAGAGCGAACGTAAGTCTGAAGTTGGAGGGCAGAATCCAGGGGCGGCTCGTCCATTACGCGAAGTAAGCGGTCGCAGAACACTTTTTTTTGCCAGGGGCGCAGAGGCGCCTCTGTAAATGCCCTCGACCACCACTTGAGGAGCGGCCCCTCAGCTCACAACAGCCCTAGCAGTCCGGGGGGAGCCTCGGCTTTCTTGCCTCGCTGCTGGGCGATCCTCTTCCCAAAGGGGCTGGGCCCTTGAGCCTCGCCTAGCCCCTCTCGTTCCTGCTCCACCCGGCCACAGGGTGCGCTAGCAGAGCCGGCACTCAGTCGTTATCCACGTTTGATCCCTTCCCCATGACCGGCTCCCTTTCCCGATCCCCCGGCGCTCCACCCGCCTCCTCTCCTCTCCCCAATCCATGGGTGGGCCAAGGGGCGGAGCAGCCATGCCTGGCCCACTCCGGGTCCGGAGGCGTGTCTGAAGCCCCCAGCGTGCGCACCAAAAGTCGCCTCTTCTCCTGACTTTCTCTTCAGCCATTGGGACCAAGAGAGAGAGAGAGAGAGCCCCTCCGGCTGGAGGTATCTCCCACCTCCGCTCCCTCCTTTGTTTTTGCGCCTACCTTCAGGAAAGGTGGGCATCTCCACCTCTCTCTCTCTCTCTCTCTCTCTCTCTGGTCCCAATGGCTGAGGAGAAAGTCAGGAGAAGAGGTGACTTTTGGTGCACACGCCGGGGTCTTCAGGCACGCCTCCGGACCCAAAGTGGGCCAGGCAAGGGAGCAAGTGCGGCAAGTGTAGTTACTGGGATGTATAGTTCACCTACAATCAAAGAGCATTCTGAACTCCACCAATGATGGAATTGAACCAAATATATCACACAGAACTCCCACGATGAACAGAAAATATATATCAATGATTGGTTGGGGGGGGGGGCAAAATACTGTTTGCTTACCGTTGAAAATTACCTAGGGCCGCCTCTGGCTGAATCCAGCCTGTGGGTCTTTGTTTGGGGACCCCTGTTGTAGAGAGTTACATTCCCAAGAACTCCACTATAATTCCACGGGCATTAACCAGGTTGTTAGGGTATGTCTTATTTCCCAGAGGATATCAATAAAACATACTGGCCATGGATAATTGGCTTCTGTGTTATTGGTAAGGCCACATGGCTATTTCTCATTGTTGACCAATGTCTTTACTATGATTGTTCATTATGGATGGAAATGGTGCATTGTTACTACATTCTTCTTAGAGGTCATAATTCTTCGCGGCAGCCTATTTCAACATCATAACAGTGTGGTGGAGCATGAGTGAAGTTGACATATTTATGAGCTAATAAGCATGTCATTATAATACACTTCACATATACACTTCTTCACACTGCAATCAAGAAACTGGGGCTGGGAAACAAAGGGACTTGTCCAAATCATACAGTGGGCTAAATCCAACTATTGGTCACAAATAGAGGAGATCCACCAGTTCAATGGAACTTGCGAAGTCAAGTTTTTATTCCCTAGGTCTATTGTGCTTTGGACTAACAAAAGGATTTACAACAGCGTACTTAAATTAGAGCCCCCCCCCCCCCGGTGGTGCAGCGGGTTAAACCACTGAGCTGCTAAACTTGCAGACCAAAACGTTGGTGGTTCGAATCTGGGGTGCGGGGTGACCTTCCACTGTTAGCCCCAGCTTCTGCCAACCTAGCAATTCGAAAACATGCAAATGTAGGTAGATCAGTAGGTACCGCTCTGGCGGGAAGGTAACAGTGCTCCATGCAGTCATGCTGGCCAAATGGCTTTAGAGGTGTCTATGGACAATGCCGGCTCTTTGGCTTAGAAATGGAGAATAGTACTACCCCCTAGAGTCTGACACAACTAGATTTAATGTCAGGGGAAACCTTTACCTTTACTTAAATTAGGGACAGAAAGCAGTTAAGTTTGAGAAAACACATAGTCTTTATTCACTAGGGCACTGTTGAGGTGCGACAGGCACATATGTTATTATCCATAGATATTCAGATAGAAATGTTTTATGACCTTCAAAATATCCAAGTCATTTTGATGTTTCCCATCCTTCTTTTCCATCAAAATTTGATGGGCAAAAGCCCTCCTGCACTACAGCCACAAAATAATGTTTCCTGGAGATTTCTTGGTTCCAACAGGACATTAACATAATGTGCTGGATGCCACTGATTTCCCATGGAACAAAGCATCCAACAATAACCAGGAGCGATCAACACTACAGGAAGAGATCACAGTATTCTGCAGGAGATCTGGATTCAATCCAGATTTCCAATGGCTACAACTTGAAAACACACAGTCTAATCCAGGGGTCCTCAAACTAAGGCCCGGGGGCCGGATGCGGCCCTCCAAGGTCATTTACCCGGCCCTCGCTCATGGTCAACCTAAGTATGAAACTACTTGAAAGCACACAAAAACTACAATCCTATCTCATCAGCCAAAAGCAGGTCCACACTTTCCATTGAAATACTTATAAGGTTATATTTGTTGAAATTATTTTAAATTTTAATTATTGTATTGTTTTTTTAAAATGTTTTTGCACTATAAATAAGATATGTGCAGTGTGCATAGGAATTCATTCGTATTTTTTTCGAATTATAATCTGGCCCGCCAACACTTTGAGGGACTGTGACCTGGCCCTCTGCTTAAAAAGTTTGTGGACCCCTGGTCTAATCCATTGGGTTAGATTATGTATTTTCAAGTTGTAGCTATTGGAAATCTGATTGAATCGATTTTTAACTTGTGGCCCTCCAGGTATTTAGGACTTCATTTCCCAGAATTTCTGGCCAGGGCTTCTGGGAGACCCAAACATCTGTCACGCGGCAAAAGAGATTTAAAGATGGGCTTAAGGTTAAGATAAAAAATGTGGAATAAACACAGAAAACTGGGGGCCCTTCCATGCCGCCCTATATCCCAGAATATCAAAGCGGAAAAACCCACATTATCTGAGTCTGGACTCTTGATTCGCCCTGAGAGCTGAGAAGAGCGGTATAAAAATGTAGTAAATAAATAAATAAATAAAGAAGCCCAGTTCAAAGCAGATATTGTGGGATTGTCTGCCTTGATATTCTGGGATATAGGGCTGTGTGGACGGGCCCTAAGAAGCCCTGGCACCCAAACATTGTAACTGGAGGTCAGCTGTTACCAACAGTGTTATGAATTTTGAAGAGGCAAGAATAGAGGGTGAAAGGAAGAAACATGCCTAGAGGAAGACACATCAAGCAAACCTGTTTTGTGACAGCCTTCGTTCTGGAAAATTTATGTCCTCGCCGTGAAAGACCATGCAGATCCAGAACTTATGGAACCACTGCCCCTGGAAGACAATCTTACTCCGCCATGAGTGTTTACTTATGATGATAATTCAAACATAATTATATTGTGTTATTAAAACACAAGACTGGTATTGTATTTTAAACAGGCAGATGGGGAGAAAGCACCTAGCATCACCTTGGAATTATTTTAGTATTATCTTCTTTTTTTTAAAAAAAAAAAAATCAATTCAGTTCTGTAGATGCACTGAAGTGCATTTGAAAACTATGAGTATTTTATTTTCTGCCAGTCTGGGAAAAGATACAGTTCCATGATTACATTTTGGAAACAATGCCGTCCCTGAATTAAGAAGGTTTCAGGCATCAATGACAAGAAGCAAAATCTGTAACGGTAAGCAGCAGCTTTTGCTGCTCCACAAAGCTTATTTGCAAGCATATCATGCTGAGTTCGTGAGTTGCCTTTCAAAAGAGAACGAGACATAAATCAGAGACTCGGCTTTGAAAGATGGCAGAAAAGAGAATGCACAGCCACACTTCATACAGACTGGTGCTCTGCATGGGACCAGTAATTACATGAATACAAACA